TTCATATCATTCCATTTGATTTTTTAAATTTTTTTAGGGTTTTGGATCATAGTGTCAAAACTAGCCCCCTGGCGGAGAAGGATTCAACTAAATGAACTATATTTTGGTTGATTCTCATTGCCCAAGGAATGCTCTTTTCAACCAAACCAAATTTGTTAAAATCGGTCAAACGGAAAAGAAGTTAAAGCAGGTTATTGTGAAAACAATTGAACGCCCCACACCATCTTTGTTTTTGAAATAACTGAGTTTTTGTTTTTACGAAAATGATAGATAAACTGGTTCTCTTTAAAAATGTGAAAAAAGAATGTTTAGTTTATTATGCGAAATTTAAAGAAAATTCAATTTTAAAATTTAAGATGGCAGTTACGCCCTCTGGTGGTCATTTTTAGAACGGTTCCCGAGATATGGCCGAGTCTAAGATAAGGACGTCTATCATGGGGATGCGCAATAGAGTTATTATGCTTAAAAGAAAAGTGGAAAATTCCGATTACTTCAACGGATATTTGCCGATATCGTTTTTATTTTTTCTGATGTTATTTGAACAGATAAAAAAATAAAAACACACTTAAACATTGCCACTTTTTAAGCTCTACTAGAGAGCGTTTAAATATAACCTTTCGTTTCGGAGAAATCACCATCAACTTTATTTTTTATACGGTTCACAAAAAAGTAGGCACATACTGTATTGAGTAGGATTTTGTATTACGAGTAGGTACAACGATTTACGGCACACACAAAAAAAAGTTGAAAACTGTTGGTTTCAACAGGATGGTGCACTCGCGCACAACGGCATAATCGTGCGAGAATACGTATCAGGCAAATTCCGGGAACATGGAAAATATGTCCGATAAGTATCGTCCCACAATTAGGGCGATGTGCGCGGGTGCAACATCTTGTTGAAACCAACAGTTTCCAATTTTTGTTTGTTTATGTGTGCCGTACATCATTATCCTTATAATAAACCACGTTGTAAATTAGCGTATGCACGATGAAAGCGCAATTTTGGTAATACCGATCAGTATTTTATCAGCGAAGTTTAAATTGTAACAGGGTGATTCCTATAGTACCTGCCACCGTTTTGGAGCGTGTAGGTGGTGCGTAGGGGAGTATTTTGATATAGGACACTTGGGGTCGGAAATCTAAAATAAGGGTGCCAGAGCCAAATTTACCTTCTGGAATCTCGCGCCTGTAGGTAGGCAACCCAACCGGCCGGCGGTGCACACGGAGCGATCTCAGGCGGCGATGTGTGGCTGACACTTGATCAGAATTTTGTTTAAACCTTAGACCATATAGTACATGGACTGCTATTCGCCCTATGCTTTCAATACAAAATGGATGGTCACGAATAGAGGGCACTGTAGTCGTGGGTATGTGAATCTCAGGGTAAACTAAAGTCGTGTAAACACCACTAGGATCGCTTAAGAGCAGCTTTATAGCAACCGCGTAGTACGGGAAGCTTTAAATACTCTTCATTATTTACTATACGTCCACAAATAAGAATAAGTTTGCTTTTTTTGGGATATCTAGGCGGTTAATTAATTGACGTTTGTTAATTTATAGGTTGACAGTCTCAAATCGTGTCTAATCGGACAACTTCGGACAGACTCGTTTACCCTGAAATTCACATACCCAGGCGATGTCCTTGACCATATTTTAGTTACAATTAGCAGTCCATGTACTATATGGTCTAAGGTTTAAACCCACGAAATCCCGTCTGCAACGACGCGTATCAAGTGAATAAACACTATGGCAATAGTATAATAATAGTTGGCTAGATGTAGGAAGTGCATTGAGAACAACGGTGGCCACGTTGAACACTTGTAAATGTTATTGCTTTTGACTGTCGTTTTCCCTCCTTTCCTCCCATGTCGCTTCCTCGCGCTAACTCGCTCTGCATCGCTCCGCGCGAAACGTCGGTCGGTTGGGTTGCCTACATGCAGGCGTGAAATTCCAGAAGATAAATTTGGTTCTGGCGCCCTTATTTTAGATTTCCGACCCCAAGTGTCCTATATCAAAATACTCCCCTAGGCACCCCCTATACGCTCCCAAACGGTGGCAGGTACTATAGGAATCACCCTGTATACAGTTGTAGTGTACTTAACCCCCAGCCCCAGGTTCTACGCTAACTTCACACTACAAGAACACGGAAATAAAGTCAACCCGGCAACGTTTAAAAATGGCCACCCGAATGACTATTCCCTCCAAAACTAAACAAGATCCCGCTTAAATTTGAAAAGTGGCACGTGATCAAACATCTAAGGCAGGGCCCCCTTACGCTATTTGTAAACAACGCCATGGCTTAAAGTACAGTAGGGAAGGAACGTAAAATAAAACACTCAAATTGTGACAAGTTTGTTTACTAATGATCGCAATTATTAAGATTGTGAAAGCTCAGAAATTTAACCCGAAATGAATTACATTGCAAAAATAAACTTCGAAAATGGTAGTTCACCGAATAAAAATAGAAAAAGGCTGGGAAAAAACTTACCAATAAAAAACCAGCCGTCAAATTAATATCAAATTGTGTTGTGAAATTAATTGTTTGTAATGATGTGAATGCGCAACATAAAATTATAACATCACAAAAAGTAGCAGGTAGACTTCAAGAGGTAACAAATAGGTTAAAAACAAGTTTTGAGAATTATGGGGCAGGTAAGCAGGTACCAAGATTCTAAAAAAGAGTGAAATACACAGGATGTGACTCATCTTTGGTGCAATAAAGTCCTTCTGTTAAAAGCAAGATGGAAAATTACATTTCATTTCATTTATCGTACATAGATTCTAAACTGAAGAGCTTTGATTAGCGTAATCCCGCTCCTGCAAGATAGGTAGCCCGTCCCTGGTTTCGGGGTTTCGAGCCTACAGTTAAAAGTCGAAGACAACCACGGAATTAAGTGTCGTAGCTCAATTTTGACTACAGTTTTTACCACCCCCGTGACTGCTTCATTCGCGGAGAAAATGTTAGTTACAAACAACAAGTCAGTACATACATCAAACGAATCGGTAATTTCCACATATTAAAATAAAATGGTCAAAACTTATATGAATGTTACTTCAGGGACAAGACCAAGTAATCAACATCAATAAACATAAATTAAGCAAGCATTAAACCAAAAACGTAAACAATTACAAACAATAGCATAACGGTATCACATATGTGATTATGCATTACGGTTAAACCAAGTAAATTTCAAAAACAAAGATGAGAAATGTTACACACAAAACACAAATACGATATAAAGAAAAGCAAAGATGCCAAACGTAACCCCCGTCCGTGCTCTTTAGATGGCGCAGGCAGCTTTTTCCCACCTAGAATTTGCATGGTTGCCAACTCTCAAAAATGTATGTATCATCGTAAGTTGTATATACAGGGTGGAACCTTTCACAGTTCACAAAAAATACCTATCGAAACTTCATTTGTACACGCATCAAAATAATTGACAATAAAACATGACAAATATAAATTACATTACACAAAACATGATACCAAAACAGGCTTAAAAGAAAGTTGGAACTTGGAACTGGTTGGGGTAGTACAAGGAGGTCATAAACTGTACCACAGGTGACTCACCTTTGGTGCAATAAAACCCTTTTGTTAAGAGCGAGATGGAAAATTATATAGCCTTTGAGGGCAAACTCAACGTTTAAACATGTGGAAATTAGTGAATCGCAACTTATATCGCTCAAAGATTCTAATCTGAATACTTTCTGTTAGCAGGGTCTCCCCCCGAAGACAAGTAGCATTGGCTCTCGTTCTGAAATTCCAATCCTATAGTCCAATCACAGTAGTGTCATAACTAATTTAGTTGTTTGAAAACAAGTCTGTAGGTATAGACCATGTACTTAATCAAAACATAACCTTAAATTGAGCAAACAGTTACACCAAAAATGAAAAATGAGTTTTATCCGATGTTTAGTATGGCGATTTCGTAAACCGTAAGAGATAGTCACTTAAATGAGCAAAGAATTGCTGAATTTTATATAGCTAGATTAAGTTTTCCTTGCAGAGTTTCTTGTAGCTCTACAAACAACAAAGTTATGGTAAAAAAAAAACGAAAAATGACATGGTGCGCTAGTATTCATTTATTTTCAAAGATATCAAAAAATAGTTTTAACAAACCCTCAGTAATTTTTCCTCACCTTTATAATGGTGCTAAAATAAAATTTTTATCACTTATCAGTTTCGAGTAAATCAAATCAACTTTCTTATTTCTCATAGATGCCATATTGGAATTTTATATCATTCAATAGCGAGAAAAATTACAAACTCTTCAGCAAAACTAAACACCTATTTTTTTTTAGTAGTATTCATTTGGGAATCAATGTTGCATTTTTGCATCTAAGTTTACAATATATTTTTTATGGCAATACCAAATTCATCCGTTTTTAGTCTGGCAAAGTCGCGATCATGGAGTTATTGCCATAAGAAATACATTGTAATGTTCTAGGCAAAAATGCAAGATTGATTTCCCAATGCAATACATATTAAGTGTTTAATATCGTTGATTTTGTAATTTTTTTCTAACGAATCCAATATGGCGTCAATAAGAAATAAGAAAGTTGATGTGATTTACTCGAAACTCACAAGTAACAAAATTTTATTAGCACTATTAGAAATCTGAGAAAGAGGGGTTTGCTAAAAAACTCACCCTGTATGTTAAATTGCACCTAAGCCAGCCCAAAAGCTTTATTTTGGGGTTAGTTCTTTAACAAATGATATTTCTCTTTGATCTGTGTTTAGATCAGGAAGAGGGGAGGTATCTAAATTTTTTAATTCGTAAATGAAAAATGTTAAAAAGTGAACGAATATACGCTACCTACATTGCATAGCAGCATTTTTTTTCTTCAAAAATCTTCAAAAATAGGCTATTTCTTACGCTTTCTGGAATTTTTGTCGAAATTTATGCTTGCTATTGTTTTTCAGTAATTTTCCGACCTCTTATATTGACGATGTACTCTGTATAGATGCTTTTATCTAGGGACTTTAGTTACGGAAATTGCAATCCTTGTATAATGCCTAATCCTAACCTCATTTTAGCTATTTAATTTTTATTTATTTTAATCATAATTTATATAATTTTAAAAATGTGTCTAACACCTCTGTGTTTCGTTTTAGTGTTTATATTAAGTATAACTTACGCACGCTAGTCAGAAGGTCACTCTTTTTTGAAAAACCAATTCGAAAGTGTCGAGTTTCGGAAGCCAACAAGAATGGATTTCAAGGAGCCCGGTGACAAGGTAGGTCAGTTTCGTGTAATGCACAAGTTCCGTCTAAGGATTGTTTAGGAACCACGAATCGTAGAGACGGTAAACTGGATTGCCAACGAAAAAGATTTTTCGTACACGTTCGACGAGATGCTCCAATGGATTGTGGAAGGTAGTCCAATTCTTGAAATTGACAATGAGACGCACTTCTGCGATTGGATCGTGCTGCAGGAGATTATAGCGGCTAAAGTAATGAACCTACGTCTTTCTTAAGTTTAATCTCGAGATATTTCGTAGGCCATGTACGACAAGTTAGACTTGAAGAAGCTGTATAAGGCCAGGAATCGAGCAAATTCCTTTGAGATGATCGGATCCGTGTTTTTTATGAATCGCGCCGCTTTAAAAATGGCAAATATCGACGCGGCGACGAATTTTATTTTTACAAACATTGATCAAAGTGTAAGGCTCGTACGGTGGCAAGACCGATGTTAACGGCACGTTTACAGGTGGAGCATCGGAGATCGTATGCTCCATACTACTTTGCCGATGTCTGTGCCGGTCCCGGCGGTTTTTCCGAGTACGTGCTATGGCGGAAGAAGTGGCTGTTTAAAGGTTTCGGTTTCACTCTCAAATCTGTGCACGATTTTGAGATGAATAGATCTCGGGTCGTGTCGCCAGTCACGTTTAACTCGCAGTACGGATTTTATAAGGATGGCGATATCTTTAAATTGGAAAATATCGAGCACTTCGCGAAGAATGTCAAACACGAAACCGAAGGACTCGGAGTTCATTTCATGATGTCCGACGGGGTGAGTTGTTTTAACCAAACGCCGTAATCGCCAAGACAATTTATAGGCGTTTTCGGTTGAAGGGAAGGAGAATCTACAGGAAATTTTATCGAAGCAAATATACTTATGCCAGTGTTTAATGGCCTTGAAGATTGTTCGAAGTAACGGACATTTCGTTACTAAAGTTTTCGATCTGTTTACTCCCTTTAGTGTGGGATTAGTTTATTTAATGTACAAATGTTTCCGGAAGGGTAAGCGTAAAATTGACGAGAGATAATTTCCGTATCATCTCATTTTAGTCGCGATTCTAAAGCCAAACGCATCACGACCGGCAAATGCGGAACGTTACCTTATTTGTTACGGTTTGCAAAACTCCGAGCAGACGGCGCTAATACGAAACTATCTCACGCATATCGCCCGTAGATTGTCGCAAATACACGGCGTTGACCGAAACAATACCGTGGATGTTAATGGGATAGTGCCGCTAACCTTACTCAAAGGCGATGAGGAGTTTTTTGATTATATCGAGGACAGTAATAACAGGTTAAGTATTCCCAAATTTTGTGCATGTTTGTGTATTATTTGAAAAATTGAGGAACTGCAATAATTAACATTACTTCCATCTTTAATGTGTACTGTGACCCTGGTGCAAGAAAGTGCACGTTGCTTTTGGAGAAATTTAAAAAACAATCGCCAGTGATCTGCATTGATTTATAGCTATCAGAAATTCTGATGGTAAAGAACAGTTTGTGATCAAATCCAGCCTTTGAAGGAATTGTTTAAACAATGTAAGGCACTCACTAAAGGCGCTACATGGAAATAAATTTTTTAGTTTTTCATTCACACACTAGGTGGCAGCATTTATTAATTTATTTTAGGTGCGTTCTGATCACTCTTTTTGCTCTAAAGCGTTCGTTTATCCAAAAAAGTGTTGACACCTTATCAGTTTTTTTTTATTGAAAAAAGGCGAGTAAAGCTCCAAACACTTCATCTCGTGAGAGAGTGCAGACGTGATCACGTGGTCAACATTTATTTTAACCTTAAAATTGAAATAAAATTAGCTGTTGTGTCTTTTTTTATTACTTAAATGACAAAAGTAAGTCTTTGCCCTTAAAAGCACGATGATGGACTAAACATACAAATACAAGAAAAATGCGATTATCTCTCGCGATATATCGCGTAATTTAACCGTAAGAGTTCGCGGCGACCCGCATAATAGCCTACGCCTTCTTCAACGGGAAAATATGCCCCAAAATGGCCGCTAATCGAGTGATGTCCTTTAGAAATTGCCCTATATATTTTTGGAAGGGACTTTTGAATACTTTTTTTAAGTATAATGAGTTCGTAGAGCTGGAAGTTGCCAGGTAGGAAGTAGCTCCTTGGGTAGGAGGGCATGGAATACCCCAAGACGTAATTAAATATTAGAGATCTTGCACTGGGAAATATTACAAGCCAAACACATCTACTTTTTGAGTGTTGTGTGTCTAGATGGACCAATTTACACACATATCTATAGTAACCCGGACGATTTAGGTTACAGCAATTTTAACCAAATTACAGGTCGCTCACACACCTGTACTCAAAAACTAAAAATTGTCTTATTTTCTAAACAGAATTGGTGAACAGCAAATTGCGGCTTTGAGGAATTTGGAAAAGTATTACCATAATCCCGAATTATACTATCCCACCCACCAGGAGCGATTGAGATTGCAGTGCCTGAAGTATTGGAATATTCCCGAATCTTTCCACAGGTTTAAACCAAAGTCGGCTACGGACAACCTCCTTGCGTCTGTAAGATTTTGGCAAGGTAAATATTGGCAAGTAATTAGACGATAACTAATTGCTGAACCTTTAGATCTGATTAATAATGAAGCACACTTGATACGAACTTATGATGATCTGAATAAGTTTTTAACGGTTTCCTTGAACTCGAATGAATGGTGCTACGTCTTATCGGCTTGCACTGCACATACGAACATTTGTACTTTTTACTCAGGTAACATTTTAAAACTGTGATAATTGTTGAAACATTCAACTTTAGCTATGGACGACTCAAATGTATGTAGATTACAGCAATCCAATTGGGTTAACGTTAAAAAATTAAAGTTAATTGCGGGTACAATACTGTTCGGTGAAATGGTGAAGGAAACAGTTGTAGAAGACAACGGTCGAAAAACAAGAAAGCGAAGTCTTCATGTTATTGACGCGTTACGTTTGGGCCACAAATCTATCGCTAATTTACCCTTTACGGAAAGGTAAAAAGGTAAAACTTGTCGACATTTCAAACGTTTCACGTTTTTTAGAATGGCCAACATCGAAGTTTACTGTCAAGCTGTAAATCACGAATCTCGTTTGAATAACGTTCGGATCCGAGCAAAGCGTAAATTGGAAACATTAACGCCATCTGTTCTGGACGGCGATAACCATTTTCGCCTTCCCGTGTTAGGGTATAAAAGTCGAGAGGAAAGTTATCAAATCAACTCTGTATTACTTTTGAATTCCAATAAAGATCTCACATTTCAAATATCATTTACTTCACAGCGGATGATTTTTTTATCCAAGACCGCTGCCAACGAAAACGCTGACGGTACAATCAAACTTGCACTTCATTCGCTTATTACTGCTATGAACAATTGTAGAAAGTTGTCTTAATAAAGAGTCTCTATTTTTTAATCTTGTAATTATGTAGAACCTTGTAATGATCTTGCCTCCTACTATCTTGCAACGCCAACTTCAAGTCACACCGGAATATTTGACCATATTCTGTAGTAGCGGGAATGCCAAACTAACATGGCTGCCTATTTGAATATTCTCGCTTAAGTTTCGCGCGAGAATCTGTCACTCGGGGGCCACTCCGAGTGTACTAAAATCGTGATCGTCATGTAGGGCACCTACGTTGTGTAATAACTGGGTTCTCAGCAGGCACTGAGGGCGTTTTATGGGTAAGGAACACCAAAAGCAATAGCTGATTAAGATTATATTGAAGCTTAATACCAATACCAATACGGGGCCCCTGCTGAGGGTCTTAACGAGGTTCTATACTACTCCGGCATTTACCTTACGAATTAGGAAAACTGCAGGAAAACCTAATTCGGAAGTAGCCCTATACTGAACAAAGCCTACAGCTAACATCTAATGTACGGCACTTTCGAGCCCTCTCGAAACCGGGGTAAATACTACATACACGCCATGAGTAACCAAAATGGAATCGAGCCATTCCCCAGGTATTACAACACATACATCAACAAAACTAAGAGATATTAAGTATACCTCGCCGGGCGGTAGGATTACCCACGCCCAGTGGGGTGCCTGTAGACGTGGGCTAAAGTTGTTGGGTTTCGGAATGAGTGAAAATGTTAGTTAGGTTCACCAAGGCCCGCATAAACTTGAATAACTTGATCACCTCTAAACAAGTACACTTCCCTCTTGATTACTCACAGCCCCAAATAAGCAAATATAATGAAATGCAATGAAATAATCCAGAGTGACTAAAAATCACAATACACAAATATGTACAGCACAGATACTGCCCTACCGACAATGAAACATGATTGCCAATACCAACAAAGGTTACACATTAGTGGTACAAGTGATTGAATTCAGTAAGTACATAAGTAAAGGGTTACAATCTGCATTCAAGTTACACACATTTATAGATTAATTGAATAAAGCAAATACCTCACCTGATAAAAAACAAAAGCACACAGTAAAGAATAAGGTATAACAAAATATTTCAAGATAAGCCGTGCTTTACACTTAGGCCGGTTACAAGTAAAAGACCATGAACACACATGTTAAATCGTATTTATTGACTACCCCAAGCGACTCTGTAACTTGATCTCTTAATACCCCTAAAAACCGCCCGAAAATCGCCCATTCCTTACATTTCACGCATTTCTTGGAAAAAACTGGACCGCAGGTGTTTGAAATGGTAAACACATGTGGTCTTCCGAGAAATTCCATCCGTCTCATCTTCGCTCTCGTTCCCTTTTCTGTAATCCCACCAGATTTCGGTTGGCAGCTTGTGTAACTAACATCATGTATAGGGTGCTTCGTATCGATAATCATATTCACAGTTATTTCAGAAGTCATACCTTCGACCTATAATAAATTCAACGAACATCTTCGCATTGCAGTTGCTCATCTAAGTAGCTTCACTTTCGTAATGGAATGATATTGCAGCAGGAATGAGCGCCTCCGCGTTATTTAGCGGTAACGTGGCAATGATCCCTCACCTTTTGCCGCCAATGAAACGAGTTGTTACTATCTTCTTTTCGATAACGCCTGCATGGTTACCTCTTTTTTTAGATGTTTATTTACTTATTATTAGTGGCGGCTCGGGTGTTCTGATCGAGAGAAAGGAAAACCTTGCATACGTTACGTTCCACGAAGATAGCACATTGGCTCGGACCTCAGTCGGGCAGGAACACTCAAAGCGCTGTATTGTCTGAGAATTCATTTATTACAAATTGATTCTGAATGCCGGCGAATTTGGACGTCCGTAACTACTACCGGGCCTCGTAACACTCCTCTGACATTGATCAAATGTGAAGATACGACACTGAAGAATATTATTAAATGGCTTGCCGCATATAAATATGGCGGTCTTAGGTTGCGGATGCTACGCAACTAAAGTTCGAGGAGCCTTGGATCCTTTTGTGCCTTAGGTCTAGAATTTGTTTCGATTCTAGCGTCCGAGTTATTTATTTATTTATTTAATCAATTTGAGTTGCAAACAGGACAAAATTAAAATAGCAACTACATCGTATTGAAAAAAATATAAATCAATGGTAAATGTGACATTCCACAAGCATAATCAAAATAAAGGCTTATACAAGGTTAACAGAGTAAATTAAAATATAAATAAAATATTAAAATAAAAATAATTTTAAACACATAAGTAATAAATTAGTATGCAGGACACAAGTGATGTGCTACTTAAAATTCAACAAAGAGTAGAGGCAAACAAACATGCAATTTCGTATAGTATGAAATAAAATTAAAATTAAGATACAGTAAAATAAATGAGGTATGGCAAGATAGTAAATGCGATGCGACATGTAGAAAAGGAAAAAGGATAAATAACAAAGTTAGTTATGCACACATATTCGTGCCAATCCGAAAGTGAGCGAAGACAAAGGAAGCCCATATTCATACTATACGAGCAAAAATCATACTTGACAAAAATCCTACACTTAAAATCAGAACGGACCGTTACAGGCGATATTCAACGTAAACATGGAAAAACAGTTAAACGATATCGAGGTATTCAATGTCGGTGTAAAATGGCAAAAATGGAACGGTTTAGTGGGATCTTGCCCAGCAAGTGGCGTCGATTGTTATAATTGTTCAAAACGAAGATATTGTGCAAAAGTTTGTAATCAACACATAAACATAAATTAAGCAAACATTACACAAAAAACGTAAACGATTACAAACAAAAGGATAACGGTATTAAACCTGGTATTAAATATGTGATCCGGTTAAACCAAGTGAATTTCAAAAACAAAGATTGAAACACACAAAAAATATAAAATGCAGCAAACAGAAATACGATATAGAGATATGCAAAATGTGTTACTATCTGCATTAAATAACACAAAAATAACAACAAACATTTACGGAGCGGCGCTTTCGCGACTGCCATTAAACAATATGCCAAACGTAACTACATTCGTGCTCTCCAGATGGCGCCGGTAGCGTTTCCCCTAAAAATTGCATGGTTACTAACTCTCAAAATTGCGTGCCCCGCCGTAAGTTGTATATACAGGGTGGAACCTCTCAGAACATTTTTCCCAATTGCTTTTTTAATTATTATAATTTTTGTTTTTTTCTCTTTAGTGCGTTTTCTAACGTTCCTGCTCTTTCTATATGTGAGCGGAAAGGCGAATGTGTATTAGCGCGCGGCTGAATGTCTTACACACATATCACTTAAAGGTCAATAATTTACGGAATGGTTATGGAAAGCATATGGTATGGAAACGTAATGTATAGTGAGAATCAACCTTAAGTCATACGACGAACGGTTCCCGAGATCTGACCGAAGAACAGCCTTATTGAGTCACCCGGTACATAAAAAGTTCAAATTTACAAAAAAAAGTAAAAAAACTCGAAAAATTGGTACACAATTCAAAAAATTTGAAATCGAAAAATTAAAGAGTAGGAAAAATACAAGAAAGTTAAAGAAAAACTTTACAAATAATCGAATTCGCCAAAATTCAGAAAATTTTTTATATAGAACTGTTGATTAATGTCAATCTGACAGTGAAGACAGAAGTTATTATATAGATATTTGGAAATGTCACAAATGCGGCTGGTAAAGTGACAAGCGGCATGAAACGTAGTGTGCTCTGCCTCTGTCATTGAAACTAAAATTTCTTAACAGAAAGTAGGCATGAAAATGAAGGTTTCATGACAATTCTTGGTAAAAGTTTTTTTTCTCATTATTTCTATCAAACACCTTTCAAGCGTTCGGTAAATCTCGACAATGTATGACGTCACTAATAAAAATCTGTCTGCCTTCGTTTTTTCTCATCTACCTAATATGTTTGAACGCCCTCTATATAGTTTCAGAAGGTAATACATGAATGAAATGGATATTTAACTGATAAAGAAAGCGTTCTGTAGGTAGTCAAGCATATCCGTTGACAAAGGTGCAACTTAAACGAGCAACTTCGTTAGTAAAAAAGACGTGGAATATGAAATGTAATCTTAGGAATAAGGTAATATCTTTTTATTTATATTGAATAATTGAATTGAATACGTAATTTAATGTCGCTTTTGTTTATAAGTCACAAAACTTGGTCTAATTAATATGGCGCCGTTGGGGGCGTGGTCCGAAGACCTACTTAATTACATTTAACGTTGTCGAAATGATTAATTAAAATTTAGCCTTTGTGAAACTATACGTTCGGCCGTCAATTATTTGTAATTCGAATTAAGTTTGCTAATTACGTAAGCTGCTAGTAAATTCTATTAAACATAACTGAAATGATTAATTGATTCTTCCTCTTATAATTGACTCATATTTTAGTTTTATCACCTCATGAAGATGAATTGAAACATGTCAAAGAAAGTTCTATTGGTTTAGGTGGGTTTCGGAGTGTTTACTGTAGCTGACAGACCACAGGACATTTCGACCCGCATGCTTTATAATTACCGAGGGAGTTGTTTCTTCCATGACGTATTTATTGCAAAATGTTTGTGTGGATTGCACATGAAAAAGTGATTATTTCCAAAAATATTAAGTAAGGAGTACTGACACTAACATCTAGGAGGTCTGGAAATTGAGAGGAGGTGAATGGTATAATAAACAAATGTAATTATGCCTGTACAGTAATTACCTACAGTGTTTTAATGATTAGAGCTTAATGGTAACTGATGTGGCGCCAAAATCTGGTAGGGCGTCAAAACCTAATCCGGCACCGCTTCGAAACATACCCAGTTACGCCACTGGTTATTGATGTGATTATAATAATTTTTTTTGAAAAATTTTCTTTTATTATGCCGGTACTAACCTGTTATATCATCGAAATGAGCCTAATGAAAAGGTGCAATGCCATTAAAAAAAATTCAAATTGTTTTTCGTTGCTCATTTGTTTTCTGAAATAAAAACAACTGAATACTACCTTATTATGGGAAATAAAATGTTAAACAACTTTCATAGAAAAATT